TTTTCAGTTTCAAAATAGCTCCCGTTCATCAGGATCCTGGTGCTGGAGGGAAAATAAGGAAAGAAATCACTGCCAGCTCTGCATGCCCATTCTGCAAGGGAGAATTTTAATGGACCATGAAACAGGAGTGCTTTGTCTTTTCTATCTGCTATTTAACAGGGAGAACCCCTTTGGTGGGATCTACAATCACAGAGAATTTTATCCCAGCTAGATTGCAGGAAAAGATCTGGAAATGTATTATACTTTTCATGGCATCTAGAATGGTTTCTTTTATCTGCCTGAACTTTAGGAAAGAGTCTCTTCTTAAGTACATTCTATGAGAATTTCACCCTATGTTACCCGAACTGGACCGGAACCGGTTCTGGGAGCCCGGATCGACTCTGAGTACAGAGGCGGGCGGTGCGTGAGTTCAAAACCCGTGTATACAGAGGTCGGATTGGCGCGTGCTGAAAGCCCGCTATTTCCCAGGAAGACAGACAACAGCTAGGGTTAAAATCAAGTTGTCTTTACTAAAGCAATTGTTCAGACATACCAAAAACAGATGCGTACAAATTCACACAAGCTCCTTAGTTACAATAGGGTAAGAAAACAATAAACATGAAAACAACAAAAGCATCAAACAAAGGGGATGACTCTGAGGTATACGATCATACTCATCTGAGGTCCAAGTGAGAGAAGAAATCTCCTCTTTCCAACAAGGGCAGCCAAGGCAACAGCTGGTGGACTCTAGACACACGACGGCTGGGCCAGCCACAGCCACGTGTGCGCTCCCTGGTCGCGACTCTGGGGAACTTAAGAGTTACCTGCAGCACCTTAGTGCAGACTAGGGGTAAGGGTGAGCTAGCTAGAGAACAAAGGCTTGCTTCTCCTTTTAAAAGCTGCCTTTCGGGGCAGTCTCTGTCTATCATAAAACTTGGGGTACGTCCTCTACTCCTAAGCTATTGGTTGGGCAGGGGTGACGTCCTACAAGGGAGGCAGTGGATAATATGCAGATTCTCCTATCCTACATCAAAGCGGGGCCATTTGGTGATGGTTGCACCTCCGTTTCCCTGGCAACTTCTTTGCTGCTGCCAGATGTTGGGTACCCAAGCCATAAAGGATGTTGTCTTTTCGATGCCAAGCCAGATAACGAGGTGGAATTGTACTCCTTCCCACCGTCCATCACTGCTGGTCAGATTTGTTGCTCATCCAAGCGTCTCTCTGTGTACCCCAAATGGTGACCTCGTTGGTACTGGGGCACATTGCAACATTCCAGAGCAGGCATCTGCTTTTGACCAGGGTGCAGTGGAAATGTCCATGGCAGGCAAAATACTTGGTGGCAGGCATCCCTGTCAGGCCCCCACTTGTGGGCAACCTCGGGGTGCAAGGCCTGCCATCGCAGTCCATAGCAGCACACACACACATAGCAATGAGCCTCTGGCTCTCAAAGGCACAGATATTTATACATGTAAGCAACATATCATAAGCACAATACAGGCAATATGCAACTGCAAATGGTCACATGGTAACACCCTAATTAAGTGAATGGATGGGAAAGTCAGGGGTGAGAAAGCACTTCTGACTAAAACAAATAATTTTCTCCATTATGCAATTTAAGAGTTTTCACATAAATCTGTATCTGAGTCATTCTAAAGAGTAAATACTAGCTTGTATTAATTCATTAGTGGATTGTAATTTAATTCAGTAAGTAAAGATTCTAAACAAAGCTCTAGAAGAAACTGAGAAGCCAGGGATATTGTTTTCCATACCTAGAGAGGTATCAATCCAAAGCCAGAAATCTTGGTCAAATTAATATATTGTATCAGAGGAAATGTTTTATTAAGAGAGCTAATATGGAGCAACCTGATATTATTCTGTCTCCCTATCTAACAAAAATTGTTGTTTTCTCTTGTTAGTGAACAAATTGCTTGCGAATTAGTGGTAATCTATTCTTCATTTACTAAGATATGGCAAATACGTATGATGAATTCCAGGGTTCTGTGTGTACTAAGAACATCCAGTGCACATTGCATGTGACCCTCCAAGCCTTGGAGAGAGAATGGAAGTTTCCGTTCGGCCAAGTGCAAGCCCTCCACCCATGGTGTGAGGAAGATCTTGTTTTGCATGGAGGATGTCTATGCCAGAAGGGGCAGGACTATCATATTGCCTTGCTTCATCTTGCCTACCATAGGCAACTCCCCCCATTTTATATCCACCCCAGAAACCTTGCAGTCTGTTTTTCCTCACTTATGTAGAGTTGCTAGCCTTGCTCCTTTTAAAATCCTCACACAGATTATAGTTACCATATTTACTCAAAAGGAAGACAACCCTGAATGTAGGACAATTCACCTTTCAAAAGGTTGTATACAAAAATGTTTCTTTTAATTGTACATAACTGTAATTTGCATGCAAATTTAAGATGGATCCCTCTTTGTAATGGCACATGTGGAGGAAAACTGAATCTTCTTTTCAGTTGAATAAGGTATTATGAGCGGTTCCCTGCTGCTTCCCAACATCCCATAATATAGCATTTCCCCATAAGCTTGCAAAATACATACAAGGTCATATCTGTGAAGGTTGTGAGTAACAGTGTTTGGTTCTGTACGTTTATACTGTCAATCCTGATAACACCAAAAGGTTAAGCTTTCAAACTAAGACAATTGTTGAATGTGTTTAGAAACAAGAGGAGAGACCAGAGGTCATTGTTGGAGAGCACATAGTATGCCACATTCAGTCTGTAGGAACTCCAGTGAACAGGCTCCCAGACAATTGGGTTTGAAAATACCTTGAAGAACTACTGCCAGACAATGCTGGGTAGATGAGACAATGGACTTGGATTCTAAGGCAACTTCAAATGTTGGGGAGAAGTCATAGCTCAGCTGTAGACAGATATTTTGGCAGATATTAATGATCCTTGAGTATTTGATCTCATCCGACTGATGCCAGTCAGAGTGGAGAGCAGAGGGCCATATTCAGTCCAACGCCGCTTCACAAGTACACTTCTTTAATAATGACATTATTCAATATGGTGTTCTCTGTCAGACAGGAGACTATGCAAAATACATGAATGGCATCTATCTGCTTCTCATCTTGTGGTTCCTAGTTTAACTTTGCCTAATCTGAAATAATAACAGAAGTGTTTTTTGTTCTAGACAACCTGATTAATGTACTGTATATCTAAAACACATCCTATGAAAAAGTTATTTTCCTTGATAGAAATCAATATGGGCAGTTAACTAATGTAAGTGGTGTGACAGATGCGACATGGAGGCTTGTTTTGGGCTTCAGACTGAACGGAATAAATTTTATCTGAAAACAAATTAGCAGGTTGGATCCTACTGGTTTTCTGCTCCATCTCACCCCTCCTCACTGCAGCCTCCAGCCCACTTGTTTGTATACGTCCCATAATCCCTGGCATAGCCTTTTCAGTGGTTAAAAGGGTTCCCCTCACCAGTGGAAAAGCAGGTAAAATGCAAATAAATCTTCTGACTTCTAAAATTTTCATCCTGAATTCCAATTTTTACCATTTTTAACTGGATAAAAATGTTATTTGTTAGCCTGCTGTTTTGGACTTTCTTGTATATCTGCAATTATGCTGTATTTGGTTTTCTCTAAATAAACCGTTTAATTAAGATTACAAATGCTGCTTTTCCACTTACTCAGGCTTGCCACAGACCTTGGTTGGGATGAGGGGTGGAGTAGAAGAGAACATAAAATGTATTAATTTTATGTATACTTTTCTGCTTTATTTCAGAGAAGATATTCACACAAGTCACTACCACTTACAACCAGTGTTCCCTCTAAGCTGAGTTAGGGTGAGCTGGCTCACAGTTTTTCAGCCTCCGGCTTACAGCTTTTTACCTTAGCTCAGGAAGGATGGCTCCAGAGCAAACTAATTTCTGCAGCAGCCAAATCGCCGGCTCACCACTTTAATGCCGGTCGCTCACAAAGTAGGATTTTTGCTCACAGGACTCCGCAGCTTAGAGGGAACCTTGCTTACAACTTAGGATATCTCAAACTGGTTGCTATCTGGGGACCGAAACAATCAATGGGCATGCCTGTTTTTGAAGGGACAAGACTAGGCTTAGTACACTTTAGGATTGCCAGCTACCAGGTGGTAGCTGGAGATCTCCCGCTATCACAACTGATCTCCAGATGACAAAGATCAATTCACCTGGAGAAAATGGTCGCTTTGGAAGGCCCGTTGAAGTCCCTCCCCTTGCTAAACTCTGCCCTCCTCAGACTCCACCCCCCAAATCTCCAGGTATTTCCCAACCTGGAGCTGGCTCTCCTAGCACACTTGCATGTCCCCTTTGTATAGCCTCAGACATCCCCTCCACCAGTGATTGCAGTTCTTGAAAGCTCAGAACAAGTTTGTGTGATTGTTGTAAGATAACTAGTCCAAAATGCTTTAAAAATCCAAAAAATTACTTGCAGAAGTGGTAGAACTTAACATACATGATTATATATGTTGTCCTCCCTTACCCCTATGAAATTGTTAGTCCCTTGTGTGAAACCGTGTAACTGTAAATCGCTCAGAGCCAGCAGCTCTGCCGGATTGAGCGATCAATAAATCGAAAGGTATTATTATTATTATTATTATTATTGCCAAATAATACATAGAAGTATCACACAGCCAGGGGTCATTTCCTGCAGGAGCGCACAGGAGCGGAGCTCCGGCAGTAAAGAGCCCAGGGGGCGGGCACATGCAACAAGCCCCACCCCCTGCTCCCAGCAGCCCTCAGTCAGAGCAAGAAGCAGCCAGGTAAGTTGCAGGGCTCCCCCTGGCCCCCTGGCCCAAAACAGTCCAGTGGCACCTTTAAGACCAAGTTTTATTCAGGTACAAGCTCTCCCTCCTCTGTGAGGACAGATCTGCACATTCTCCCCCCCTCCCAATAGTTAGCAATCCAAGACAGTCCAGTGGAGCTTGAGTGGTAGGTGTTGCCTTCTGACACACTTCCGGTGATGTCAGGGGGTTTGGCATATGCAAATAAGTTATGCTAATGAGTTATGCTAATGAGCTCCTGCACCTCTTTTTCTACGAAATGACCCCTGCACACAGCCAATGTAAAAGCGCAGTAAGATCTTGAGATCCTATTGGCATCTGGACAGGCATAGAATCTCTCCCATTATGGCTATTTTCATTGGACAAAAATTCTGAACCTTCAAGAGTTATGCATTAAGTAAGCATTACAATCAAGTTACAGTTACAGGAAAACAATAAAAGCAGGGATTTTACCAGATGTGCCTCAAGAGAAAGACTTCCACTCTTCTCCTGCCGCACTAGGAAGGAAATACCTAGCTCTTTATGCATTCAGCTTGTAACCAGGACGCACCAGAGCCATGACACCGGCATAGCCAGTTGGGCAAGGGAAGTCAAACATGTTGGTCTTTGGGACCACAGCTGTACCATTTTTAAAGTCAAGAATATTTATGATATAGGAGTCCTGGCAGACCATGAGTGCTTTGTTCTCGTACCAGATGGTGTCATCTTGGGAACCTGTTGGTGCAAGATGGAGAATAAGGAAAGTGTCTGATGAGCAGAAAGTATCGTTTTGGCAGCCTTGTGCAATGTCCTGGTAAGTGAAGGACCAGGATATGTTCTGAGTGTTGAAAAGAAAACTAGGGTGTTCAGGGGTTTCAAATGACTGGGAGGCACTAGATCCCTTGTGCTGTGTCAAGAGTTCATGTGTTAGGTATGTGCTCCAAGTGGAAGCAAAATAATAACGAGGGACATATGCATCACTTTTGAATTCTTGGGGTTTGTATTGCCTAAAGAATTCAAATGGTACTGTGTGGAATTCAAGGGCTTCCAGAATCTTCCTCTGGAGCGCATAATTATAGTGCCCATACAATGTCAGGTTGAAATGCAACTTAAACAGCTGTTCTGGGACGAGCATGGGAAATCTGATCTTTCTCAAAAGCCCTATCATTATTTCACCTGGCCCATTGGCCTGAGCCCAGCGGTCAAGAGCTTTCAACAGTGACCATTCACTCTCAATCACCAAATCAGTACGAGAGAGCAGAGCCTCCATATTGTCTGGTTTGAGATCCAACCAGGCCTCGGTGCGGGACAGGGCCTCACAGTTCCAGGCCAGGTACTGCAGGATGAGCTGCTGCAGGGTGCTATCTCCACTAGACAGGCTATGTTCATACAGTTCCAGTGCGCGACGGAAGGAGGGGTCCAACGGAAGAAGATACGGGAAGATCTGCCGGCAGTAAGCTTGCAGACCTGGCACCCCATAGGCTGAAGCCAACTTGTGGATGCACTTTACTGAATCCAAGGTGATTTCAATATGTCTGGAGTAGAAATATCTGAGTGGACAGACAAAAAAGATAAAAGATAAAAGAGTGAGCTGCTATTGAACATCCCAATTCTAAATTTTATTGTGCAGGCTTTGGAATGATCTTCAAGTGAAACTTTTTTATTTGTCCAAAACTTGAAACAACGAAAAAGTGAGGTTTTACTAGGATGCTCAGTTTCCATAACCTTCCACACATTAACAAAAAGTAATACAAGCAAGAGTCAGTATGGTTAAATGGATGACAGTTAAGCCTTCACTTAACTGAACTGGTTCACTTTCAGAGGGAAACCATGTGTTAACATGCAAGTAGTTGTGACTTTTTTTGGAGGAAAAGCAGCCTCAGAAGGCTACAGTTTTGAGCAGATGAATGATAAAGGGGGGATGTTTAGCTCTTTCTGTTGATCAAAGTAGCCTCCTTTGCTTTCTTCCATCCTGTGAGGTTCCAAATGCACTTGTGCAGCAGTAATTATGCAGCTGGAACCCTGTAGGTAGAAGCAGCAGTGGGGATTTTGAGTGGAAGTACTCCCATACATGCACAAAGGAAGAGAGAGAGAAATCCAAAATAGTGGATGATTTTGAGTGAAGAATATATAGGGGAAGCTGTTTTTCCTCCAGGACAAGCAGCAGTTGGATTTTTATGACAGACAGACATATCTAATTGCGTCAGGATAATGTTGCTTCCAGATGATCCTCAGCAAGTCTCTGCTGCCTGCCTTTCTGCTGACCACTTTTCTCAGTTCAACATGTTTGTTCCAAACAAACACGTGAAACAACTGTATCCAGTTATCTCAAATGATTGCAATTTGTTACACTTAAATGATTGTCCAGTCCTGGGGGCGAAGTTGGGATGCAATAATAAGTCTATCTCATATTAGCGAAACACATTAACTCAGCTTTAGAATGTTGTAGTGAGGATTTGGATGATAAGACAGTTGCATATTGACGTACTATATAAATGAAGACCAGCAGGGGAAATCTGAAGAATGTTGTGGGTTGCAGTTGGGTCCAGTCTTGTGGGGGATTGGGGGAGAAGGGAGAAGGACATAAGAAGAGCCCTGCTGGATCAGACCAATGGTCCATCTAGTCCAGCATCCTGTCTCACACAGTGGCCAACCAGTTCCTCTGGAGAGCCAACAACAGGGCATAGAGGCTGAGGCCTTCCCCTGATGTTGCCTCCTGGCTCTGGGATTCAGAGGATTAGTGCCTCTGAATGTGGAGGTTCCCCTCAGTCACGATAGCTAGTAGCCATTGATAGACTTATCCTCCATGAATCTATCTAATCCCCCTTTAAAGCTTTTTATTCCTGTGGCCATCACTACATTCTCTGGCAGCGAATCCCACATTTTCATCACCCTCTGTGTAAAGTAGTATTTCCTTTTGTCCATCCTAAATTTACTGCCCATCAGCTTCATTGGATGTCCTCAAGTTCTAGTATTTTGGGAGAGGGAGAAAAATTTCAGTTCTCTCCACCCCATGCAGGTTATCTCCACTAGGAAGGTGCATTTGAGGGGCAAAACAAAATGAACCTGGAGACACCCTTAACTCTGGCTTGGTTCAAATGTCATGTGAAACCCTTTCTTTCTTTTTTGCCACCAAGTTACAGAAGACTTATGGCAACCCCGTAGGGTTTTTAAACCAAGAGACTGACAAGGGTGGTATGCCATTGCCCGCACTGGCTGCCTCACATCACAACCATGATATTCCTTGGTGGTCTCCCATCCAAATACTGACCCTGCTTGTCTTCCAAGATCTGATGAGATCTATATTTTTATTAAACTGTGATTGTTCAGATGCAGGCCACTGTGTTTAGTTATGATATGTCAAATATAAAACCCTGGTTGGAAGTTGGTTTATTAACCACATGATAACCAGAAACCAAGCATGTCACTCTTTTATCTCTTAAAAAACATCTTCACTATTTTACATGCAAATTTAACAAGCCACACTCTATATATACAATTACTAGCCTGATACTTGTGCTTCGCTACGGTATTTAAGTTCCGTAAATCCAGTTATAATACTGATGATGTGAAGTCTGGAATGTGACATTTGTTGTAGGGATTCTAATAGAGAAGATTGTAGTGTAAGAAATGTAGTGAGACATATGTACTTTCTGTCTCTCTACTGAAGGGCCTCTCTCTAGACCACACTGGTGGTTCTGCCCTCAGGTGCTAGGATCACCAGGCTGCATGATGAGCAGGCCACATAGAACTGTCCACTTAAGAAGCAGTCGTCTGTTAAGTCAACTCCTGCTACCTTCCATGAAAGTGATGGCCTCTTTACTTGTGTTCCTGTATTGTTTTGCTGAGCACCTCAGGGTGATCTCACTGGTACTTGGCCTGCGCAGCTCAGTGCCCTGCAGGAGTACTATGTACAAATGTCTTTGCCGCATTCCTAAGTTGCCTTCTCCTTGTAGCGTTGGTGTATCTGGCTAGACATTTACCAGGAGCTTTCTTGGGGGCAGTAAGAGGTGAGAGGTGTGAGGGGGAGTTGGTGTGAGGGAATGGTGATGTGGTGGATATTTCTTCAGGTTCATGAGGGAGGCACGCATTGAAATGGCTCCTAGATATATCTTTTACTATCTCCCTATAAACATTCATACCCTGGCCCTGCTCCTACACCTGACAGACACCGGACTGTCTGGTGTTGGGGGGGATTGTATTTAAAGGCATCGGGGAGGCTGGGCCAGCAGCAGTGCTAAGCAGGGGTCATTTCGTAGAAAAAGAGCTAGGGGGACTCATTAGCATAACTCATTAGCATATGCCACACCCCCTGACATCACCGGAAGTGTGTCCTCCCCACAGCCGGTGGCGACCTCCAGCGGGCACCAGCAGGGAGCTCCAGGCCCCGCCCTCCTGCACCTCACCCGGGGGGATGGCGTCCCCCCGCGTCCCCCCCCAAATGACCCCTGGCAATCCTGGAGAGCAAACCTCCCTGGTGGCTGTAAGCATCCCACCTCCTCTCCTACACCTGATAGGCAGCTGCCTGTCCAGTGTAGGAGGGGGAGTGGGGAGGAGTATTAGAAGCCACTGTGGAGGTGGGGCTGCACCTGACAGACAACCGCCTCTTAGGTGTAGGAGGTGGGGGGAGTGTGTTGGAAGCCATCAGAGAGGCTGGGCCAGCAGCTTTGCTTCACCTCACAGGTGGTTCCTGATTTCCTCAACTGTCATTAGCTCTCTGCAGTCCCCTGTAACTGTTGGGGTTTTTTACCTCAGAACACTGAGCTCTGCAGCTGACCAATCAGAGAGTGGGGGGTGCAGGCCTGGGAGCTGCATAGGAATCAATGGGGGGAGCACATTTTACCCCTTTTGACCAACTTAGGGGTTGAATTTCTAAAAATCCCTTCTTAGCAAGCACCTGCACCACGGTAGGAGCGCCCTCGCCGAATTTGGTGTCTCTAGGTCCAGCGGTGATGATCTGTAATTCCATTTCATTGTCTGACAAAGTGTGCATGCACATGAAAGCTCACACCTTGAATAAAACTTTGTTGGTCTTAAAGGTGCCCCACTGGATTCTAACATTGTTTTCTTAGCCACAGTTAGAATTGCTGTACAGCAGCAGACATCCTGGCTTAATCCTGGCTTGTTCCCTAGCATTGCCCTCACTGCAATGCTGGCTGGGATATTAGCTGGATCTTTGTTGGAGAGATGAAACAAAGAGCAAAGGCAATGAAACCTCCATTTGTTGAATGGTCATTTGTGAGCCACATCCTGGGTTATAAAGTAACCATAAACAATGGTTTTGTGCTACAACTGAACTGAGTCTGAGGATTCATAAGATACGTAAATTCGAGGTGAACGAACCAATGTTCTGAGGTAAAACAAGCCTTTGTTAAATAAAGTTAAGGATAGTTTTAATAGTGGGTGGGGGAAGATTGCTGCAGAAACAAATAACGTACCAAACTTTATTCCAGGGACAGTTATTTCTTTCCTTCCCATAGGTGAGACAAGAGTGGCTTCCACACTTGTCTTGGAATCTTGTGGCTTCCCTGTTGCTGGTATGGCTGCAGATAAAGCGCAGCAGCAACGAGACTTCCACATGACAGGCTTCCCCCTCAGTTTCCATGCCCTAGAAGTGGCCACGCTGCCCCTGGGGCTTTTTCAATTAAAAAAAATAATCAGCACTAGAATATCATATCAATGTAATGTTGTAGCAACAGATGTAGCAAGTTCTCTGAATTCCCAGCTTTGTTCTTTTTTTAAAGTAAGTATCTAGCCCCTTCCCTAGTGAAGATATGCATTTCCACCTTATATCTCCATAAGGAAAAGGAATATATGATATTCTAGTGCCAATTCTTTTTAAAATAAAAGGGCCCTTGGTGGCAGCAGGGGTCGTTTCGTAGAAAAAGAACTAGGGGAACTCATTAGCATAACTCATTAGCATATGTCACACCCCCTGACATCACCAGAAGTGTGTAATAAGGCCACACGCCCCGCCCCCAATGGTCCCGGTTGCCGCTGCCGGCCTTGCAGCTCCACTGCCGAGCCCCATGAGGGGCCCGGCGGTGGACCTGCAAGGCCGGCGGGAGTGCAAGGAAGCCCCGCGAAGGCCCTCCCTGGCCCCAGGCAGGCAGGGGTGGGGAGAGGCAGGGAGGAAGCAACTTACCCTCCCTCTTCTCCTGCCTCCTCCTGGCTGAATGAGGGCCGGAAGCGGGGCGGCCGGAATCAGGGGGCGGGGCTTCGTCATGTGCCCCGCCCCCGTACCTCACCTGGGGGAACTGCGATCCCCCGCGTTCCCCCCCGAAATGACCTCTGGGTGGCAGGGTAAGGAAATGGCTGCCACAGGGACAGGCAGCAAGAAAAGAAAGGGCCATACCAAGCATGGAACAAACAACAAGAGACAACTGGTACAGTGGGAAAATTAGGCTTCATTAATTCTGAGACACACACCCCCTGCCATGCATTTCACATTTGCTTCATTAGAGAATCTGTAGGCTATCATACTCTGAACACTTCCCACAACAACAGTATTTGAGGGGATAAGTTCAGAAAAAAAATCTGAATTTTTCCACCCACACACTAACTTTCCAGGCTTTACAGTGATCTTTCCCAAAACTCTGAAGCAGAGCTAGTTTGAGAAAGATCAGAGAAAAGCCAGTGAAACCCTTGGCAGTTCATGAATGCTGTGGGGAAGTAGGAAACCCCAAACACACATTGAACTTGGGGCAGATAAGCTATTCAGAAATGGCCTAAGACTGTTCACCATGTAATTAAAAAAAAATGATTAAGCATCTGTTTTAACTAACTAATTAATTAATAGTTTTGATTACTTATATTTAATAAATTTCCATATTCCCCAAACCTCTGCATAGCATCTTTTTGAGTATAATATTTAATATAGTATTGAGTATAATAACAGATTGAGTATAATAACAGAGTATAATAACACGAGCCGGCCATGGCTGGGAGGGCAGTATAAATAAATACATGTTGAGATTTTGTTGTTATATTAGAAATTATCACTCATGGCTGGAAAAGAGTTTCTTTTTCATATTTACATTTTCATTTTCTATTATAGTAACAGAGCCAAAATAGCTTCAATATATATATAAATATGCCCTTCAATCTCAGGCCTACTGATTGAAATTTGTCCTCAGTGATTAATCAGCTACCATTTTAGTTGATTAGATTATTGATTTTAAAATTAATTCATGGAATCACCATTTTTACCTTTTTACTCATCCTGAATTTTATTCCTTATTTCTTCTGCCCTGGGAAGCTCTAGGTGAAATGGGAAAGTTGCTTTACTTGTTCTCTAGAAAAAGCACATACATACATGCACTATATATAGCAGGGAGGCCAATCCTCAGAAGATGACTTTCACACCAGCCTCTACTCTACAGTAGATGGGAGGCTTCCTACTAAGTTATCTGCCCAACCCTTTGGGATGCTGTTGGTGACTTCTTAAAATCAGCACAGTGAAAAAGAAAATAGTAAGTTCTGAACTGTGTGCTACACTGACTGTCTGAAAATTCCAATAGGGTTGCCAGTCTCAAGGTGGTGGCTGGAGACAGGGTCCCCTGGCCACCAGCAGGGGATGGGGGGGGGGTAGGGTTTTCAGAGCCAGGTTGGGAAACTCCTGGAGATTTGGGGATGGAGCTTGGTGAGGACCAATGTTTGAACATCCCACATAGGTTTTCAACATGACAGGGCAAATAAACGTTGCCACGTAATATTTTACAGTATTTTTCTTGCTAATTACAGCCATACTGTCCTCATGTAATCCTTATCAGTGAATTACATACATAATGCCTATTAATAGCATGATTTCCTGTTTGAAGATATCGGTACTGTAATGTTCTATAATTTGCATTAAAAATCATAATTAAAATTCGTGATTTCACACCCAGTTGCAGTGGGTGCCTAGATAGCCTCGTTCTTTCTTCTCTACCATGATGTGTTTGACACTGATAGTTACATTGCATAATTTTTAAAATCCACCTCATGCCTAAAGTAATCCTTAAAATGCATATGTGTATAGAAGATTTTCTACTCAGAAGGACATATTATTCACCTCTACAAATATTAAATGGTTTTATTTTAAAAGTGAAATAACAACTGGTTGAAAATTGGTGCAAGTAACAATAAGAATAGGAGTTCGAAAGCAAGAAATTGCAGGTAGATAAATAGGTACCACTTCGGTGGGAAGGTAACAGTATTCCGTGCACCTTGGTGTTTAGTCATGCCAGCCACATGACCACGGAAACGTCTTCGAACAGTGCTGGCTCTTCAGCTTTGAAACGGAGATGAGCACTGCAACCCTAGAGTCGGATTTGACTGGCTTTCGAGCAAGGGAACCTTTACCTTTACCTTTAACAATAAGAACAGTAAAGGAGGTAAAGGGAAAATAAATAAAACACACGAACACAACTAGCCATACAGCTCCACCCGCAGGTGAGATGTTCTTAAGGAACATGTATCAATTCACTTAAAGCGATCATGTGACACAAGATGAAGTTCAAAGCATGAAGCTTTACGCGTACTTGCTGACCACACCAAGGAAATAATAGAAGCTTTGGAAGTGTTGAGAGATGGGCCAGAAGAAACATCTGAAACCAAGAGTGATGCAGGAAGTCTGTTAGTTTGCATCATGACCTATCTTTTTCTCTTATTCTTGCATTTTTGGAGCCCAGTACTAACTGAAGTGAATGATGCTCAGATCTACCTGCAGCAAGAAAGACTTGCGCTTGATCGATGTGTGCAAGTGTTGAAAGCATTGACTCTGTTTCGCCAGGAAAAACGAGACTGTCTAGTGTCAAAGGCAACTGAGAAAGCTCTGCAGATGTGCAAAACGTATAACATTTCTACAGAGAGGAGAGTTGGAAGACGTAAGAAGATGCCTGTTGAGCAGAATTGTAATCCTGCTTGACCTTAGTACAAGAAACACGCAGAGAACAACTGGAAGCAATTGATTGGCTTAAGGCAGAAATTACGAAACGTACAATACAGATGAATACGCTTCACCAGCGATTTGCCTTCCTGCAAATCTGGACATTGTTGGATACTGAAAAAGATGATTTTATCAATGAACATATTCAGCACACATTTGCTAAGTGCACAGAGTTGAATGCTGCAGCTATGATTGCTGAAATAAATTGCCTTTGGCGCCACATTGTCTTGTATAAGGAAGTCAATCCTGATGAGCAGATTGCTAACTGGACAGCTTTAGATTTGCTTTGGTGGGTATACAAATGGAAGCTGCAAGAGAGTTTGACTAACTTTGTTGTGACATTTAGAATCTTTTAAACTATCACTGTTTCAACTGCCAGTTGTGAAAGAAGTTTCTCAAAACTTAAATTAATCAAAACGTATCAGAGATCTACAATGAGCCAAGAAAGACTGAGTAACCTAGAAATACTGTCAATTGAGAGAGATTTCAATATAGATTTCAATTCAATTTATTACAGGTCTATATGACCGAAGTCTTGACCAAGAGGATACAAAAGGGGAATATAGATTTCAATACTGTTATAGAAAAATTTGCAGAAATTAAAACCAGGTGATTTAAAATAAATTTGAGTATACTAGCATTAAATTCATTTTACTTTAATTACATCAGTATTTTCTTAAAATACAATGCATGTGCTTGGGAGGGTAAGGGGTTCAGTACTGGATTGGTGGAAGGGACTCAGTCCACAGGTTAGGGGGCGCAATACCCCACTGCTCAGTGGGGTACCATGCCATAGAGTGGGTACAATACCCTCCAAATCATCTATTTTTTCCAGGAAACCAATCTCTGTAGTCTAGAGATGAGCTGTAATTACATACATTACAGCTGTAATTCTGGGGGATCCCCCAGGTCTTACCTGGAGGCTGGCATCCCTAGCTGGAGATCTCCTCGAATTACAACTGATCTCCAGGCTACAGAGATCAGTTCCCCTGGAGAAAATGGCTGCTTTGGAGGGTGGATTCTATGGCACTGTACCCTGCTGAGGTCCCTCCCCCCAAACCCCGCCCTTCTCAGGTTCCACCCCCAAATCTCCAGGAATTTCCCAATCCAGAGGTGGCAGTCCTAAATTCCAGGAAGTTCCACTGGATTCCAGTGCTGGAGGAGAGGATAGGTGATGCACTACAAATCAAGAGAATACAAATCAAGAGAATAAGTTGGACTTAGTACTCCACATATACTTCTTACCTGAGAAAGCTTTTCATGCTAGGCAAACACTCCTTTTCCACCAGCAATGTGTATGAGTTGTTATTCCGCTCCAGTAGAATACGGGCCTCATTGTTTGTGTGGAGAATCAGGCTATGTGCACATACATGACCATGAGATTCCAGGTTGGTTGCTGCTGTCATGATTGTGATGTTGATGTCACAGTCTTGCTGGCTGTCATATAATTTACCAAAGTCCTCAGAAAAATTTCCAGAATGATCCAAAACAAAAGTCCCAGGATTGTATATAATTCCTGAAATGAGAGGCCCAATAACTGAATCAAAAATGGTATACGAGGCCTAAATAGATAAACTGATTACCCTGAATTTAAGGTCCTACAACAGATATGCCCAACAGAGTAAGAGATAACACAACTGAAACAACAATGACTGCAGATTAAGTAGGAAATCTGTAGCCACTGGAGAAACTGAGAGTTTTATTTTGATATACAAAAGTGAATGGAATTAGTCTAGATGTAAGGCCCCAGCTTTTTAAAAGAGTGCTTGAAAATTAGAGGAGAGTGGAAATAAGATCTGCAAGAATTGTGTGGGAAATCATAAATGAGGGGTTGAGAGAGAAATATTGGCTTGGTGAGGTCTTAGACAAGCAGGGCAAGAGAGTGAGTTCCCTAGTGGTATACCACAATCTGAAATTGGGCAGCTTGATCCTTCTGCCATATACATCAGTGACTGGAAGAAACCAAATAGACAAAACACGATGTTGATGACACAGCTAACAACGACCCACTGGAGACTCACTGTTGATGCACACCACCCCTGCATCCTCCCCATGTCCGCAGTTGTTGTTGAACCATCCTCCAGAACTACACTGTGTGAGAGATGTCTCTGTCCCGAGACAGTTGACGTCATCTAAAAGAATGGGTCCTGATCCTGTGTAGAAAGCAAACATACAGCTAGTCAGAATGGAATAAGAGTGCTCCAGGGAGCTGGTTCTCCTGCGCTCACACTGTTAAGGGTCTGAATTATTCCAGCTGCCAATCTGGATTTCAGAAATTCACAGCAAGCCTTTCTGAGAGAGCTTGGAACCTGAATGCAATTAAGCAGCATATGTTGGAACTCCAGATATAGAAGGCATTACTGTTATATACTAGCACTACTATGCATGGCACTTTAGGGGGAAAGGCAGATCTTTGTCCCTAAAGAATTTGTTTCGGTGCCTGAATCCAGATTGCAAATGATCTAGATACTCAGTTTCACATACAAGTACCCAAAGTTGTTCAGCCAACACCTTCTTCAAAAAGTAGGATGTATTGACCTTCCCTGCAAAATTATTGGTATCAGTGTGGAAATATATTCCCAGAACATCATGAGAGGAATGGGCACTTTGGTTCCTGGGGATATACAGGCACTTGGCTAGTCAACTTATTTATTTAATCTATACCCTACACCCTCTCCCCACAGGCAACTCAGGGCAGCTTACAGCATTTAAAATACAATAAATAAATACAAATATAAAAGTATAAAATGATAACACCAGTTAAAACCGAACTGATAAAAACCAACATCAGCTTGACAAGCGAAACTGAAAGGATCTATCTCCCCTCTCTACTCAACCTTTTATACAAATTATGGGCCCCAATCCAGGAAAGAGCAGTGCATCTTAGAGCAGTATCTGTTGACCATGGACATGTTAGATTCTCTGGTTTGGTATAGCCAGGAACTGTTAATAACTTAGCAGTGTACAAAGGCAAGTTACCTCACAACAGAAGCATCTTGTGTGTGTGTGTGTGTGTGTGTGTGTACTGGTAAAGAAACAAAAGTAACATGGAGTCCCTTTAACTATTCAAACTAATAAGAGTCCTCCTTGTTTTGGAACTCCATTCTAGACAGAATAGGGTAGAGACAGGACAGAAATCTAATCTAGCTAACTAGGATGGATGCTGATACAGGATGCATGTCCTGCATCCTGGATGCCAGAATGGAGAGTCTGGCAATGTGTGCGAGAGACACGCTAATGAACCAGTTTGTAGTGGGCCTGCGGGAACCGAAGCTCCACAGAAAATTGGCCAGCCGTGACGACCTGACGCTCAACATAGCCTTAAAGGAGGCAGTGTCCTACGAAAAGACACACGAAGACAGTCACGGCAAGACAGTACACCGCACAGACCCTTCGGCTACTTCTGATGGGTCCGACAAGGAGGAGGTTCTACAGGTTCATCATCCTTCACAGCATCCAGCATGTCTAGCGGGATCATCAGGCAACAAGGGGTTCCCGTCTTCAAACCCCTGCGCCAGCTGCGGAGAGGCACATGAGTGCAGGTTGTGCCGTTTCCGGAATGCAATCTGCAGGACCTGCAACAAGGCTGGACACCTGGCAAGAGTTTGCCGCTCCAAGGGACAACGGCAGAAGACAACAGCACAGCTTGATGCATCGGAGCGCTACACCATTTCGGACCACCACCAACGGCACCAACTAATGGTATGTAACTTACCCCCCGATGGCCTGGACAAAGTGCATGTGACTGTCCATATTGAGGGGTCCCCCTGTAAGATGGAAGTCGACTCGGGGTCGACCTATTCTATAATCTCGGCCGATACCCTCCATTTCCTATGCCCATGTGGGGGCCCCCGGTTGCACAAGCCACAGGGTCTCATGTTGTGGGACTTTAATAAGAACCCTGTGGACTGGACCCAGAACTTGGCTGGGGTAAGTTCTGGGTCCAGTTCCAGGACTTTTTGGGACTCCTGGACCTGTTGGTGGTGGAGGGGCGCTTGTCCAGTTTATTGGGACTGTCATGGTTCGTGCCCCTGGGACTGAAATTGACAGGGACTCACCAGCTCCGGACAAGGGATTTTGGGGTGGTTTGCAAGGAGTTCCCCAAGGTGTTTGATGGGTCCCTAGGGTGGTACACCGGGGCCCCGATATCTCTGGATCTTGATCCAAACATATGCCCCATCCGCATTAAGGCACGGCTCCCTCCCATAGCAATGAGGGCCAAAATAGAGGCTGAGCTTGACTGCCTCGTAGAGCAAGGGGTGTTGGAACGGGTCGCGCTGGGAGACCCCCATTGTCACGCCAGTCAAACCGAACAGTGACGTCCCTATATGTGCCGATTATAAGTGCACTATCAACAAAGCCTTGCAGGACCACACTTACCCGGTCCCAGTGGTAAGCCACATCTTAGCTTCCCTTGCGGGGGCCAAGGTCTTTGGTAAGCTAGATTTGGTGCAAGCTTACCAGCAGTTGCTGGTAGATGCGGCCGCCGCTGAGGCACAAACCATCGCTACGCACAAGGGGGCGTTTCAGGTGACTAGGCTGCAGTTCGGTGTATGTGTAGCCCCTGGGATTTTCCAGTCATTCAAGGATTCCCTCCTCAAAGGCATCCTTTGAGGAGGGAATCCTGAATGAGGGAGTACAACCTTTTCTAGATGATATCATCACGGCGCCGGACTCCGCCACCTTCGCTGACCGGCTCTGGGCAGTGATCCAGAGATTTGACTCCACCGGTCTCAAGGTGAAGAAAGAAAAGTGTCTCCTGCGCCTCGAGTTCCTGGAGTTTGCGGTGGACGCCCAGGGTATCCACCCCACAGACGATAAAGTTCGGGTAATTACGGGGGCCCTGACTCCCACTTCCAAATCTGAACTGCAGGCTTTCTTGGACCTGCTCAATTTTTATCACGCTTTTCTCCCCTTGAAATCTGCCATGGCGGAGACCCTGCACCATCTCCGGAACAAAGACACACCCTGAGGCTGGATGCCCACTCACGCAATGGCGTTCCAGGGGGTCAAGGATTTGCTCATTTCTAACTCCATCCTGCACCATTTCAACAAGGCGCTACCGGTGGTCCTTACCTGCGACGCTTCTCCGTACGGGGTTGGGGCGGTCCTGGGTCATCGGTTGCCGGATGGCCGGGAGGTCCCGGTCGCCTACTACTCTAGGACCTTGACTTCTGCGGAACACAACTACGCTCAGATAGACAAGGAGGCGCTAGCGATAGTGCATGGTGTAAAAAAATTCCACCACTATCTCTATGGCCGGGCCCTCACTGTGGTGACGGACCATAAGCCTCTTCTGGGTCTCCTGGCTCTGGATAATCAAACTCCGCAGATGGTCTCCCCCAGGGTTCTATGGTGGTCCATTTTCATGGCGGGGTACAGCTACGACCTTGTGCATCGCCCCGGGAAAGCCATCAGACATGCCGATGCCATCAGCTGCCTGCCGCTGCCCATCACAGACCCTGACCTCGCTCCCGTGCACTCAATTGCCCTCGTGGAGTTGCTCCCCAATCGCCCGGTTCATGTGCGGGAGTTCGCCCACTTCACGGGCCAGGACAAGGTTCTCTGTCGGGTCCTGGACTGGGTGGGGAGGGGAGGGGATGGCCTAGGGCCAAGAAGGGCCCCGAATTCATGCTGTTTGTCACCCAGAAAGACGAAATACCTACAAAGGGTGACTGATGTGGGGTGGCCAGGTGGTGATACCTGCGCCACTACAGCAGCAAGTCTTAGTGGCTCTACACGAGCACCACCTCTGGGGTCGTGAGGATGAAGGTGTTAGCACGGAGCTATGTCTGGTGGCCTGGCCTCAATCAGGACATCGAGGACATGGTAAAATGATGTCAACCTTGCCAGGTCTCTCGCCCCAACCTGCCTAGGGCTCTGGAGAGAGCCTGGGAGTCTTCACACCACCCCTGGTCTCAACTCCACCTAGACTTTGCGGGGCCGTTCCAGGGGCTGCTTTTTTAAATCCTTGTTGAGTCTTTCAGCAAGTGGCTAGAGGTCGTCCCCGTTCCGTCCACCTCCTCGAGATCCGACATCAAGGCCATGTGGCGGATCGTCAGTGCCCAGGGTATCCCGGACACCCTGGTAACGGACAATGGCACTGCATTCACGTCCAGGGAATTCCAGGACTTTACATCCTACTATGGAATTTGACATGTGCGGTTGGCTCCGTTCCACCCCGCCACAAACGGCCAAGTGGAGCAGATGGTCCAAACCACCAAGGATGTACTCCGACGGCTCGACTCAACCTTCCTCTTCGGCCAACGAACCACACCACACACAACAACGGGGCACAGTCCAGCCGAATTACTCCTGGGTCACCGCCTCACAACACGTCTAGATCGACTGCATCCGGACCAGGCCCCCGAATGTGAACCAGACATGGAGGACCAGGAAGCTGCCCGAGGATTCTTTTCTGAAGATGCAGTGTACGTGCGGAACTACGCCAAGGGCCCGCCATAGATCCCGACGCGAGTGGTGTGAGTCAAGGGGCCCTGTTCCTACGAGGTTTCCTGTGAAGACGATGAATACAAAAAGATTGCTGCGAAAGTTCACTGAAATATACAAAAGATGTTCAGTAGAAAATTCAACTTTTCATGATGTTCTTTAATTCTTGTTTCCAACAGGTGCCAACAAGATGCACAGCACAGGAACAGGACGAACACTTCTCGAGTGTATCTGCGTTCGTTTCGAGATATATTACTTTCAGGGCCGACATCCTTAAGACCTTTTCGCAGGATACCTTACCGCCGGGACACTTTAAATGCGGCCGATGTGCCGCGTGTCCTTTGATGTCAGAGACGGGTGTCTTAGATTTCCCGGACCTCAATTTCAAAAAATCCCTGACCCATTTTTCATCCTGCGCCACCAAATCTGTCATTTATCTTATCACATGTTTTTGTGCAAAAAGGTATGTTGGACAAACGTCCAGGTCCTTGCGGACCCGTGTTTTAGAACACAGATCAAAGTTAAAACATAAATGTATGACAGCTCCTATGACCCAGCATTTTGAGGAAGCTGGACATGGCCCCAATGATTTTAAATGTCTAACCTTAGAGGTAGTAAGACCTAAATCCTACACGTGTGTTGATATGCAAAAATTGCTGTTACAAAGAGAAGCTTTTTGGACTTTTGTACTAAAAACTGAACAACCTTTTGGAATGAATGCTGCTCTTGACTTGTCATGTTTTTTAGGAGAGTAAAATTGGGATCTTCACTTCAAATATTGTTCTCTCTCTTTAAATGCTGTTCTCTCTCTTTAAATATTGTTTTCACCCTTTGCTCTCTATCATTGTTGGATTCTCTCATTTTAACCATAGATAAAGTTTGTATTCAAAAAAGTATGTAGTGGTTGCTTGTAACCCTCCTGTTGTTGTATATATTGTTGTATATATTACTGTATAAATCATGATCAGTTGGCTACCTGAATGGGGAAGGCACGTGATAACATGGTGTAAATATAATGGAAGCTTTCAATTAACCACTAAGACTTGTTGTTTTCAATTTCAATTTTTATACCTAAGTGTTAGAACTTTTGTCCCTCAATAGTGTGGTTATTATGGTTATAATAATACTATGCTTTAATTTGCAGAATGTATGGATACCCTTGTGGTGATTTAAACTGTGTGAAGATCATTGAAAAGTGTATGTATAATATTTAAGCTTCTTTAAGTAGTACAATAGTGAGATTGTCTGGAGTGAATGTTTCCTATGATATTATCTTTATTATTATATTGATAGGAAGTTTGATAAAGAATATATCTCAAAACGAACGCAGATACACTCGAGAAGTGTTCGTCCTGTTCCTGTGCTGTGCATCTTGTTGGCACCTGTTGGAAACAAGAATTAAATAACATCATGAAAAGTTGAATTTTCTACTGAACATCTTTTGTATATTTCAGTGAACTTTCGCAGCAATCTTTTTGTATTCATTGTATGTTGTTGCTGTGCCCTGAGTTTATATAGATAAGTTTTCCTGTGAAGACGGTATGGTGCTCCAGAGGCACATCGACCAAATGCGCCGGCGAGTGCTGCCTCTGGAACCAGAAGACACCGAGGAGGCTGACCCAGGCGAGACTACCGAACTACCACCAGCTCCAGTGATAGCCAGCCAACCGCAGACCCCGACCCCAGTGCTCCCTAACCAGCCCGTAGCTGCACTGGCCACCTCGGACGAGCCTCTGGGAACGGCACCTGCTTCCTTAGCACCAGCCACCTCTCTGCCGAGAGCCTCGGCACTGGTGTCCCCCACAGCATCCACGAGGGAGCAGAAAGCTCTGGCATACCTAAAGGACTATACATGTGGGTGTCTTTCGGACCAAGGGGGGAGGGGTGTTGTGTCCTGGCCTAGCCATGTGTTCAATCCAGTTTCGGCTGGTTTCACATGCAGTCAGGTGAGGTACCTGAGCTTTGCTCCCAGTTCCCAGCCAATCGCGAACCTAGGCTCCCCAGGACTAATCTAATCCATGTAAATAGACCATTCACGGGTGTGTGTGGGGGTGTGTAGGCGGTTTACCTTGGGGCATATAAGCCAGCCTGCGAGCCGGCTACTTTGTTTTGTTCTTCTCCGAATAAAGTATGAGAGCTGAATTCACTAAGTAAGTCTCAGTACTTTTCACATTGTCTCCTCATTGGTTACCTCTATTTGCATAACATTGCCTTCTCATTGGTTACCTCTAGAATCCTGGTGGTCTATTGTTCCAGAGGTCCAAGCTCAGCCCGTCTCTTGGACAGACCTGGGAGATTCCAGCCCAATACATAACAGCTACTGCAAGGCAAGTTCTGCTCTACCATGCCAAACTACAGTATGACCATGCTTGTGGGAATGCTTCAACATTTGGACCAAATTTACACCACCTTCCTGGCACTGAACAATTTCTTTCCGTTCAATGTGCACCCCACATTTACATGTATCCTAAGAAAAAATTTAAAAGTAAGATGCATTTCCCTGCTCTTGCTTTCATCCTTTCTCACTACACCCAGGCACACCATTCCCAGGACACGGGCAGCTTGTACTTATATGGAAATTTGAGTTCTGATATTTCTGTTTTATAAGAACCTAAGAAGAGCCCTGATGGATCAGACCAGTGGTCCATCTGGTCCAACATCCTGTCTCACACAGTGGCCAACCAGTTCCCCTGGAGGGCCAGCATCAGGGCATAGAAGCCAAGGCCTTCCCCAATGTTGTCTCCTGGCACTGGGATTCAGAGGTTGACTGGCCCTGAATGTGGAAGTTCCCCTCAGTCACGATAGCTAGTAGCCACTGATAGACCTATCCTCCATGAATCTAATCCTCATTTAAAGCTGTCTGTTCCTGTGGCCATCACTACATCCTCCAGCAGTGAATTCCACATTTTAATCACTCTCTGTGTAAATAATTATTTCCTTTTGTCCATCCTGAACCTAGTGCCCATCAGCTTCACTTGATGTCTTCAAATTCTAGTATTTTGGGAGAGGGAGAAAATTTTCACTTTGTCAACTCTCTCCACCCCATGCATAATTTTATAAACTTCTATCATCTAGTCATCTCTTTTCTAAACTGAAAGGTCCCAAACTCTTTAGCCTTTCCTCATAGGGAAGGTGCTTCAACCTCTAATAAACTTGGTTGCCCTCTTTTGTACCTTTTCCAGCTCTGCAATGTCCTTTTTGAGATACAGTGACCAGAACTGTACGTGGTATTCCAAATGAGGCCACATCATAGATTTATATAGGAGCATTATAATATCAGTCATTTTATGTTCAATCCCTTTCCTAATAATCACCTTTTTCACTGCTGCAGCACCCTGGGTCGACACTTTCATTGAGCTATCCACTACAACACCAAGATCTTTTTCTCTGTCAGCAAGTTCAGATCCCATTAGCCTACACTTGAAATTGGGATTTTTTTTACCCAATGTGCATCTCCTTACACTTACCAACACTGAACTTCATTTGCCACACTGTCAACCACTTACCCAATTTCTGGAGGTCCTCTTGGAGCTCTTCACAGTCAACCTTGCTTCTCACCATCCTGAATAATTTTGTGTCATCTGCAAACCTGGCAACTACACTACTCACCCCTAGTTCCAGATAATTTCTGAACAAATTAAATAGTACTGGCCCCAATACTGATCCTTGTGGGACCCCACTGCTTATTTCCCTCCATTGTGAGAACTGTCAGTTTATTCCTACTCTTTGCTTCTTGTCATTTAATCAGTTTTTAAACCATAAGAGAGCCCATACTCTTATCCCATGACTGCTAAATTTACTCAGGAGTCTTTGATGAGGTACCTTGTCAAAAGCCTTTTGAAAGTGCAAGTACATAATGTCTACTGGGTCACAATTGTTTACACGCTTGTTCACTTTCTCAAAGAACTCCAAAATGTTGGTGACTTCCCCTTGCAGAAGCCATGCTGATTTCCCCCCAGCAGACTTTGTTCCTCTGTGTACCTAGTAATTCTATTTTTGATTACGGTTTCTACTAATTTGGCTGGGACAGATGTTAGGCTGACTGGCCTGTAATTTCCTGGTTCCCCTCTGGACCCCCTTTTTTTTAAAAAGGGTGTTGCATTTGCTCCTCTCCAGTCTTTTGGTACGGGAGCTGAATTAGTGATAGATTACAAATATGATTAGTAGATCAACTATCTCACATTTGAGTTCCCTAAGAATTCTTGGGTGTATGCCATCAGGACCTGGATACTTCTTGATTTTTAATTTCCCCAGTAGGTTTAGAACTTCATCTCTCATCACCTCAACTGGACTCAGTTCTTCAGACTCCCTTCCTGAAAAGAGTGGCTGTGGCATGAGCACATGTCCCACACCTTCTACAGTGAACACAGAAGCAAAAAAGTCATTGAGCTTCTCTGCCATCTCCTCACCTTCCTTTAGCAATCCCTTTATTCTTTTGTCATCCAAAGGCCCAACTGCTTCTCTGGCTGGCTTACTACTCTAGATATACCTAAATAAATTTTTATGGTTTGTCTTGATGCTTCTAGCAACCTGCTCCTCAAAATCTCTTTTTTCATGCCTAATCATTGACTTATATTTCTTTTGCCAGCGCCTGTGGTCCCTCCAATTCATTGGGGCAGACCATCCTCTTTTTAAAAGAAGCCTCTTTACTTTTTATAGCTTCCTTGACTTGTTTTGTTAACCATGCAGGCATTTTTTGGGATTTGGGAGTGCCCTTTCTAACCTATGGAATGAATTCTATTTGGGATTCACATAGTGTGGTTTTAAATAGCTCCCAAGCATCCGCTAGGGATTTGACTCTCTTGTGTTTCCTCTTCAGCTTCTTTGTTATTATTCCCCTGATTTTTGTAAAGTTCCCTCTTTTGAAATCAAACGTTACGGTTTTGGACTTCAGGGGTAACTTTTCATTGACCTGAATGCTGAACTTAATAGCATTGTGGTCACTGATCCCAATCGGTGCAATAACTTCTACATCTCTCACCAGTTCTTGAGACCTGCCTCTGTGACCAAGTATTCCAGTGCACAGTCATTTATGATGTCTAGATTTTTCTACAGTGTGATTCAAGTACATGTTTACCCAGTCAATGTGGTTAGTGTCTCCAAATACATTAAGATTTGGGGCTGGGAACTGTGTTGTGGTAAAGAGCTTGCCTCTGTATTCTGTTCTGTCGTACCTTCCCCAAATGCTGCACTCGTCTTCACTTCAGTGGCACCTGTGAAGCCCAGGGAGCGGCAGACGACATCTGCATCTGCCATGTCCCAGTTATCATCACATATCGTCCCCCACTGTCCAGCATAGTAGATCTCCACACGCCCCTCACTGAAGGAGCTTCCATCGACCAGCCGCACATCTATACCGTGGATAGCTGCAGATGCAGAAAAGGAACATAATAAAAGCACATCGTTAGTGACAAGATACCAGCACAACAGAGGCTTATATAATTTTAAAATTATAAAATTATGCATGATGTTGTGAAAGTAGATAGAGGAAACTTCCGCCCTCCCCCCCAAAAAAGTCTAGAATTCAGGAGCACATAATGAGACAGATGCACAGTAATTTCAGGACAAATTACTTCTTTACAAAGTACACAACTAGCTTGTGGAACTCACTGATATGGGATGAGATGATGTCCACTAACTTAGATGGCTTTAAAAGTGGTGTGGGCATATTCATGGAGTATGGGTTGGGAAATGGCTATTAGCCATGGCATCTAAATGGGACTCTTATGCTCAGACAGTTGTAACTATGACTGCAAAATGCTGGAATGGAGAGAATAGCAACAGAGAAAAGTTTTGGCTACTGTGACTCTGCCATGGGTCTTCCAGGACATGTGGGTACCTGCACTGCATGAAACACAATCCTGGACTAGGTGGGCTGATCCAGTGATACTCTTCTTCAGAACTGAACAACCTGAAGCATCTGCGCAGGACACCATTTCACAACCTCCTTGAACTGGACTAATGTACTTCCCCACACTTTCCACCCCAGATGCTCTAAAATTATGAACCATGATTAATCAATGTATCAAATACATTTTTATCCTAACCTTTCTCTGTGAAGGTTAGCGCAGCATACATTGTTCTCCCATTCCCATTTTATTCTCACAACAAACCTTGACAAGGCCGCCTGTGTGTCTGGTCCAAGATCACCCAGCAAGCTGCGTAGCCAGCCTCCAGGTGGGGTTGAAGTTCTCCCACAATTACAATTTATCTCCAGTCTATATAAATCACTTATGCATTCATTTCTTATTTATTTAAACCTTGTATTCCCTTTTTCCTGGAGAAAATGGCTGCTTTGGAAGGTGGACTGCAGATCCTTCCCCCCCCCCAAGATCCCTCCCCCCCCAAACCCCAGTGTCCCAGACACTACCCTCAGATCTCCAGGTATTTCTGAACCCAAAGTTTGCAGCGCTAACCCACATCTTCCAGACCCTAATCTGATAATCTAACCACTGCACTACAGTACAGTTATGTGCACTGCTAAAATTCAAGCGCCTTTAACAGGATTTACTAGGGCAGAAATGTTTTTAAATTCAAAATCTTAGTATTTTCTGGTTCTGATTGTGGTATCGAAATTTCCCCCCTAAAATGCAGCATCTGAATTTCAGAATAAAAATTTATACCACAGTTTGCAGTTTTTGTCACCTATTCATGAAGATCTCTTTCATTTGATAAATGAATAAAGTTAATAGAAAATTTATGAAATGATGTAGAAAGGAATCTGTCTGTTATTGTCTAATAACATAGACTGCTTCTGCCTGTCAGGTACAGTCTTGGCTGCTACTGAGAATCTCTGGATTCTGATGTTAAATATCAAAAATTATCTAATATTTGCTGAACAGTCACACTTTCTCCCTCAAAATTCATGGGGCAGACTTCACAGTTGCACCATCACGCACAAACTGATCACCAGCATTCCCTCTTTCAAGAAAGAAAGAGCATTCACTCCCTACAAGAAAGCTGGCCATGGCACTGTGCTGTCCATGTACTACCATATCAAGCAGATTTTGCCTGTGTCATGCTGTTGCACAGGTGGCCTAGACTCTCTGCATAATTGGCCACGGTCAGTTTGGTCTTGATGAAGTCACTGTTCAGCTGCAGGAGGTCCAGCTCCGAGGTGAGCTGCCACTGGCCTTTGACCTCCAGTGACTCCACCAGCTCCAGAGCCTTTGCACTTCCAAGGGAATGACGCCCAGGAGCCTCTGCCATGTACTTCCAGTTCCTAGATGGCCACTGCAGTAGCCCCCTCCTTTGCCTTCTCTGCCTCCAAGCTAAACAAGTAATATGGTGTCATGACTTTGCCAGCTGGGGGCTCTGTGCCACAACTAGGCATCCAAGTTAGCATCCCTGGGTATGTTGCTCTCCTCTGTTGGAGCCAGATGACAGCTCTAGTCCCAAGCCACCTTCATTAAAACACCAGCTATTATTGTTGCTGTCTCCCAGGTCTGAGCTGAGTGGCCACTGCACTTACCACTTGACTCAGCTTGCTCCAGGGCTCTTGCAACATAGACTACCCCTGTCTGAGATAGCACTGGGCTCTAGATTCCTGAAAGGTTGGTGTCCCTAAACTGGAACCTCTTGGATGTTTTGATCTGTTCCCATGTTCAAAACAGAGATAAATAGAATACTCTCTCTGTTTAAGGTACGGTAACTTTGTTAGTTGTAGATTTTCCGGGCTGAATGGCCGTGGTCTTGGCATTGTAGGACCTGATGTTTCACCAGCAGCTATGACTGGCATCCTCAGAGGTATCACACAGAAAGATGGAGTACTCTCTGTGTCAAGGTGAGAAGAACAAATGGTAGGCAGGTAATTTATATATACTCAGGAAGGTGGGGTAGGGCTGAGTCATTATCTTGTAGGAGTTTCCCAGGCTGTGACATGCTAATGGAGGAGCTTTCCTGAGGAGGTTCTGTTGCATATGGATTGGCTGTTGAAATTCTAATCTTATCTGTAGTGCTATTATAAGATGTAGAGCATTTTGTGTTTTTCAGGACAGGAAACCATGCCCTATTTATTTTTAAACTCTCTTCTTCCCTGTTGAACGTAACTTTGGTTTGATACTTCTTGCTGGCTTGCCCATATCACATTTAGGGTTGGCAATCTCGAGGTATTGGCTAGAGATCTCCTGGAATTATAGTGGATCTCCAGCCAACAGACATCAGTTCCCCTGCAAAAAGGGCTGCTTTGAAAAGTAGACTCTATGGCATTGTATTCCACTGAGGTCCCTCCTCAAACCCCACCACCCCCAGGCTCCACCCCAAAATATCTAGGAATTCCCCAACCCAGAATTGGCAACCCCAGCCACATATGCATATTGCAGAAAGTACATTGAACACAGTGTGCACTGTTGTGCATTACTACTTTAATTTTGAGAGTGTGTTGTTCTACTTAATTCTTTGGTAAATAATTGTTTGGTTAACAGAACAGCAAATGAAAGGCAAGTGCAACTTAAAGTACCAGACGTAGTAGAGGAAAACCTTGGCTGTTAATATGGCATGGTCTGCTTAATATGGCACAGGGGGAAGCTTGACAGAAGCAGAGCTGTCTGGTTTCCCCCTTCAAATCTCTAGTCACAAGGCAAAGATGCAGGAGCCTTGTCCTCAGTTGTCACTAGGCCCTGCTCACTGCAGAAGCTGTTCCTTCTTAACAAGGTGTCACTGTTCAAGACCATGAACAGCCTAACTTACCCAGTGAGTCAGTTAAGTTCGGCCACAGTAAAAGCAGACTGAGCATTAGTAGTCCAGACAGAGTCCCATGCAGCCAGCCTGATGGAAAACAACACAGTGTGAACAAGCAGGTAGGGCCAGGCACATCATGGCTAACCAGGGTTTAAAGTATATGTAAAAGTTCAGTCCAACACAAGGGGATGACTTCAGCTAATTTCCTCATGCCTCACTCTGAAGGAATCAGATTGGTTTGTAGATAGGGAAGTTGCTGGGGAACACGAGTGATGGGAAGTAAAACTGAGAGCCAACAATATGCCGTTTTGCCCAGTAGATTTTCATAATGTGGCCACATATTCCACATATGAGTCCTTTAAAAATCTGGGAAGGAATCTAAGGTTTCATTAAATTCATTCTAATTCCAGAATGCAAATTCATTGTAAAGTGTAAAGGCAGGGAATAAATTTGTATATCAACAACCCTGCATGGCCAGCAGTCAATTCAGAAATTCAATTCAAGCCCCAATACCAAGGAAGGAAGGAAGGAAGGAAGGAAGGAAGAGGGAGGGAGGGAGGGAGGGAGGGAGAGCATGGAAGCAGCAGGAGCAAGCAGAAATGTAGTCCTTTTCCTAACAGATATTTCCCCATCCCAAACTGCACCTATCAACTGTCATTTCCCTCTCCTCCACAGCAAGGAAAGAACTCTCCCATCACTGCTTCTCTGCTTTCAATCATCTAATCATAAACCCAATTTTTAAATTCACATTTATGTATCCTGTATAATTAGCATCTAATTGCACAGAATGAGGAGCATGAGAAGTTTTGCTAAGTCTGCACATACTCCCACGTCACTGTAATATTCCTCCTAGTCTTTCCAGGTGCTTTGGTTTATCTTTGGGGAACATACAGACGTAATTTTGACCCAATGTTGTGCAGTGGTTATAGTGTCAGACTTGGGTCTCATATGTATATACATGAAGCTGCCTTATACTGAATCTGACCCTTTGTCCATCAAGGTCAGTATTAGTCTACTCAGACTGGCAACATTTCTCCAGCATGTCAGACAGAAGTCTTTCACATCACCTACTGCCTGGATCTTTTAAACAGAGATCCTGGGGACTGAACTACAGTGGGGCTACTGGGGCTTCGCCCCCTTCCTTAAAGGGCTAGCCCCACAAGATTTCCTTTTGAAAATGTTTTTTAATTATTTTTAAACATTATTAATTGTCTTTTTCTCTACATGGTTTGAAATGGTTCAGGGCACAGTATCTCCCTTATAAATAAAAACCGAATGGTGATGGCACTTCTCTAGAACATTCCACACGCTCCAAAATCAGTTCGCTCTCTGATCTGTCGTTCAGAGGGTCTCCCTATCCACTGGCTGTTTGCCTCAGTCCTGCCTCCAACATTCTAAACATTTTGCTTTTCCTCTCCCCCCCATAGCCAGTCAGAACAGAGGTTATTTGCATATGCAGCCTCATTACCCTCTGCCTCGGAACACAGAGGTTATTTGCATATGCGACTTGATTGGCTTTTGCCTCTAACATTCTAAACAGTTTTGCTGTTCTGAAGTAAAATGTGTCCAATCTCCAGGTGAGAGCTGGAGATAACTCAGAATTACAACTGCTTTCCAGATGGCAGAGATCAGTTCCTCCGGAGAAAATGGTGGGCTCTGTATCCTTATATGCTGCTGAGGTGGCCCCCGTATGACAGCCAATGTGATGTAGCAGTCAGGGCTTCAGAGCATGGGAGAGGCTGCAGGTGTGTGGGGGGTGGAAGCTGGAGAGTGAGGGGGAAATAAAGGTAGGTTGATGATTGGCTGGGAAGGAGAGGGTTGCCAACTCCAGGTGGCAAATTCCTGGAGATGTGAGGGATGGAGCCTGGAGAGGGCGAGGTTTCAGGAGGCGTGGGACCTCGGACAGGTACAAAGCCATAGACTCCATCCTCCAAACCAACTATTCCCTTCTGGGGAACCATTGTTGCCAATCTCCAGGTGAGGGCTGGAGACCACTTAAAAATTACAACTGTTCTTTAGGTAGCAGAGATCAGTTCCTCTGGAGAAAATGGTAGACTCAGTGTCATTATACCCTGCTGAGGTCGCCATAGCAAATTGACACTGAGTGTCCAAGGCTGGGGCACCCGCCCAGAGCCTCTTTCTAGAGGCCGTTGTATTTATTTCCACAACGGGCCTTTTTCCTAGTCCTATAGTATTGCTATAGAACAGAAGATATACAGAGTGCATCAGAAGCAACAGTAAGTAGCTTCTGCTTCCCAGTCTTTAGCCCCTCCAAAATTTGCCCCACAAGCCACAAAATCCTGGCTATGGGGTGGGGCTGGATTGAACCTGGGATGTTCTGCATGCCAAATAGATGCTCTGCTACTTAGCCAGAGCCCCTCGCCAATCTGCTGTGGATGGAAGTTTTCTGGGTGACCTTGCTTGTGCCTGTCACACACTCTCAGGCTAACCTACCTCACAGACTTATTGTGAGGGTAAAATGGAGGAGGGGAGAATTATGTAAGTCACTTTTGGGTCCCCACTGGAGAGAAAGGCAGGATATAAATGAAGTAAGTGAAGAAATAAAATAAGTGAACCAGACAACATCAATCCAACTAATGCTTTGATTGGGGTGGAATCACCATTAGCCAGCATGCAATCTGGTAACCCACCTTTCTGGTATACTCTGATTCTTTAGCCCTCAGGAGTGTTTTGCAGTGAGGATGGAAGATGAGATAATGTCACAGCAACTGACTGTGATGTCTCCATGAAGAACCTCACCAAATCCTTTCCCCATCATATACTCAAACCATTCAGAACACCTTGCCAAGTTTAATCTGCTCCCTCTCACCACCTCATCTTTCCTTCAGAGCTGTGTATTCATTTTCCACAGGACCTGAGTGCAACTTGACTTCCTGCAACTTACAACAGTGCAGAGCTGTCACACCTGGGACGGGCGTGTTTAACACTGCCTCCTTTCATTACATTGGGGCAGCAAAATGCTAGAGATAAGTCTGTTTTAAGAGAAAGCTGCAATTGGATAATCAGAGGGAAAGCATTGGAACCAGCTCTAGTTTCTTAAACAAAAGTCTCCATGACAAGCAACTCTAGTAAAGTTCCTCCTTGCCCCGCTAATTCATTTCCACTGTAACACAAATCAGATGGAGCTGAGTTTGTCTTTGAAATCCTTTTAAGCAGCCTCCCATATGGCAGCCATTCAGCTATTAAAGGAAGAGAGTGCAGTAGGAGCACAATGAGAACAAGAGAACCAAAAGAGTGGTCAACAATGCGATGCAATTTAAGCATTCCTGTATTTTGCTTGTTTACGCACAGAGTGATTGGTTCCAGCAGAACGATTTTACTTCAGACCAGCATTTAGAGTTCATCCATAAATATGCTGGTAGATGGAAGAGAATTGTTTTTCCATAGACAGAACAGATCTTTTTCATGCTGTTTTGTATCAACTTCAACCAACAACCCCAACACATTAGCACTTTTAAAATACACTGAGAGGATACAACAGAGTTAAATTAAACTGCAGTCTCCAGTGATGCTTATCTCCAGGGATTTCCTATGCTCTTGGGTTAGTGCTCTGACACATAAGAGGAAGGTCAGATTTGAAGCTTAAACTGTCTCTCAGCGTCCTATCTGTCAGTCATGCAAGCACTACAAAAACTGCACAGCAGGACAAAAAAAGAAGAAAAGATCCATGAATAGGTGTGTATCTCCCACCCTCACCAATTACGTATACCCTTCTGTACTCACTCTCTCTTCCAACACATTTCTCTTTGCCCTGGAAGATGCCAGTTACTAGGAGACACATCGTTGACCCAGAGAGGTATAAGAGACAGAATTCTGGAACTGGTGCTTTCAAAGGAGTTGAGGAAGAGACATTTCCCTACCAAAATCACATGGCTTCAAGAACTTATCCTGGGACTTCCTTAATTCAGTGCAGGCTAGCTGTAGTTCCTGAAATGTTGTAAAGCAATAAATGCACTCATATGAGCATAGCAAGCCACACTATACTAAATCAGTCTTCTAGTCTTTCTAGCACAGTAAGATCTATCCAAACAGAAAGCAGCATTGTTTTTCCCCAGGTACTGATAGACATGATTTTGAACCTAGGGCCTTCTGCAAGGAAGGCATGAACCTTATCATTGTATCTTTGAGGTGTATTTTCTTCTGAGTTTTGTTCAGATTCAAAAGGGTTCTTGTAGTGTCAGAACTTCCCAGATAAGAAATCTTGGTATCTGCTAGTAATTTTTTCTTGGGCTTGGAAAGAGGGATGGAATAAGGTAAGTTATCGGAAGGGTTGCCAACTTCCTAGAGAAACGATTTTGTAGCTTTTTAGCTTAAATGGATGTTATTTACTGGTGATATTATTTACCTCCATGCCATGAAAAGCCTCAGATGCTGATTTCCACACATTAAGCCCCTATTAAAGAGAGAGGACATTTTTTCCCAGGCCGGCTGGCAACCCTAGCTATCAAGATTGACTGAAGGAAAGAGAAGGTGGTAACTGCTGGGCCTAGAAAACTTCCATATAAGGAAAGAGAGAGGCAGTCTCTAGTTTCATCACTGAACTGTGGCTTGTCTTTTCAATGTCAAGGACCTTAGTAGTTTAGCATAAACAAGTTATTTATTAAGTTTCCAAAAGGTACATGCCAAAGAGACCCCAGAGAGGGACTGGGAATCCCTGCTGGCATGACGGTAAGACCTGGCTGTCATAAACACAGATAGGGAAAGGGGTAAGCAGCTCTCCCAGCCTATGCTTTGCAGTATCCTTGACTGCTAGTCTTTCTTTAGTTTCTGTTTCTCTTTTGTTGCTCCTCCATTGTTCCAGCCCTTAATTAAGATTACGTTTCACTACAGGGCTTTGGCGAGAGATTGAAGAGTACTAGATCACTGTGAAGTGAGAATCTTTTAGTAGGAAAGGTTGATATATGCTTAATTCTTTGTAGGGTTGCGTTCTAGCACGCTGGAATTCTTTTGCACTAAACGCACTGATTAATGTCTGAGAGATCCTGATTAATGGTCTAACAGCCAGATAAAGGGTGGGACTTGATTTCTTTTGGTAGTTATTTTCCCCCAAAGTGGTCACAATGAAATTTAAGGTATGGTCCTGCTCTTTCTACAAGCTTTCAGCCTTTTGGATGCTAATGGGCAGAAACTGTTGGAGAGTGTGACTCAGCATGCCTGGACATTGAGGGGCACTATATCCTGCCAACCTAGCAGTTCAAAAGCAAGAAATTGCAAGTAGGTAAATAGGTACTGTTTCGGTGGAAAGGTAACAGCATTCCATGTGCCTCAGCATGTAGTCATGCTGGCCGCATGACCACAGGAAATGTCTTCGGGCATCACTGGCTCTTTGGCATGGAAATGGAGATGAGCACTTCCCCCTAGAGTCAAATTCGACTGGCTTTCGAGCAAGGGAAACCTTTACCTTTGCAACACGGAGTGTTATCTCCGTGAAAGTACTGAGACTTACTAGTGATTTCAGCTCTCATACTTTATTTCCAGTGCAGAACAAAGACAAAGTTACTGGCTCACAGGCCGGTTTATAAAGGCACACAACCCATACCCCAAGCACACCTCTACACCAGTGATAGGTTACTTACAGTGGCCGAGAGTTCCATAGGCTCTCGGCCGGAGCCTAGCCCAGCAATTGGTGTGGGCTAGGATCCACTTGGCCCATTGCTTCTGTGAGCGAAGCTTGGTTGCTTCACATGACCACATGGAGATCAAGCCTCGCACGTGGTCGGAGATGGATACATTACACTCCGTGAATATGATGCCTCTCTTTGTCTTAACCTGGGAGCTACCCTCTGATCCCTCCTCTCTATGTGTGTGCTTTTTTCTTCCCCATTCTTCATGGAGTCACATGAGTCACAATGGCCTCATATTTCCATACACATGATGCTGGAACAGCTGGCCACTTGTGATTGGGAAAATACTCTTTAGATTAGGTTTCTCTCTCATTCAGCTGCAGCTTGGATGTGAACTTGAATAAAATGTGAGTTTTACTTTTTGCAATATACTTCTTGGGAGATTTATTTACTGACATCACTACCATGCTTCTATGACTGGACAAACTCTGCTATATTAACCAAATATCCCAATAGAAACTCTGTGTAGTGTATTCAGATGCTGCCCTGAATGCATAAGGTTGAACGTAGAATCATCCCATAGAGAAGCTATGCTAAGCTTCAGACATCGGCAAGGATTCGCGCCGAAAGTATTGTGTCCAATCACATTTGAACTGTCTGTGGTGGGAACGTTTATGATTGGGCTGTAATGGGAACAACCTGATAGGTTGATGATTGTATAGTAGGTGTGGCTACGTTAGCCCGGAATGTTTAAATACCGAACAGCAACAATGAAAGCTGGTTCGGGCTATCAGAGAAGTTGTACCGTGTCAGAGAAGTTGATTGTCGAGCTGAATAAACCTGAGTTTTGCTGAAATCACTCTCTGGCTATTTTGTTAAGCATGGACTTAACAATTGGCAACGAAGTGCGGGTAGGCAGCCCCACTGGTCCCAACCCCACGACGGACAACAGCGAGCAGCAACTCGCAGTGGCAGAGCAGCAAAAGGCACCACCAGAGCCGGTGGCAGCGATTGCAGCTATGGCCAATAGCCCGAAGTTCGAGGCATTCGAACCAACGACCAAGGACTGGGACGCTTACCTGCTGAGGTTCGGGTTCCACCTCGAAGCTAACGATATCACTACGGAGGAGAAGAAGCGAGCCACCCTCCTGAGCTCTTGTGGCAAGAGCGTGTTCGATATCGCCAGGTCCCTGGTAGCACCAGCGGACATCACGACCGTGGCCTTCAAAGAGCTGACAGACAAGCTGAAGGCACACTTCTCCCCGCAGCCGTCGGAGATTGCGTGCCGACATGCATTCTTCAAGAGGAGTCAAGCGCCAACAGAGACCGTGGCAGAGTACATGGCAGCTCTGAGGAAAGCTGCAAGGCCTTGCAACTTTAAAGATGTGGAGGAGGCCCTCCGTGACCGGCTGGTGTGCGGCATGCGAGACGAACGACTGCAGCAGCGGTTGTTCGCAAAGAAGACCCTGACGTGGAGCGAAGCTTATTCTGAGGCCGTCGCCGCCGAAGCCGCTGACAAGTCGACCCGAGAGGTGAGACAGCGTTTAGCCTCCACCGAGCTGCGTGTCCACCACCAGGGGGCCGACGTGGAAGCCGATTGTGCGCATGAGGACGTCTGCGCCATCGGCAGAAAGGCGGACAAGCGGACCCCAGCGAAGACTGCAACCAACCCAACATGCACCGGCTGTGGCGGGAAGCACCCGAGGGAGAGCTGCTGGACCAGGGACGTGGACTGCAGGAAGTGTGGCAAGCGAGGCCACATCGCACGTGCCTGCAGAGGATCCAAAGCGTCTCCTCGACCGTCGCCGCCCAGG